GCCTCAGCCTCCCAAGTAGCTGGTACTACAGACATGTGCCACCACACCTGGCCAATTTTTTCTATTTGTAGTAGAGACAGAGTCTCGCTCTTGCTCAGGCTGATCTTGAACTCCTGCCCTCAAGCGATCCTCCCTCCTTGCTCGCCTCCCAGAGTGCTAGGATTATAGGCCTGAGCTACCATGCCTAGCCTATCCCAGGGACTTTAAATATGGATTATAAAGTTGTAAAATCTGTTTAGGTGAGACTTTAGGATGAAGAAATGAAATAATTTGAAAAGGTCTTATAGTAATTCTTTCCTCTAAAATGGATTTAGATGAATCTCAGATCAGCTTTTTTTTTAGTTGAACCATTTAATGTCTTGAACTCACATTAGCACCATAGTTGGTACATACTAAATACTTTTATTTTAGGTTTCTGATTGTCAGATGCATAGCAGTGATTAGTGAAGGAAGTGTCAAACCTTGCCAGGTCTTTGAGCTTTAAAATTATCCTTGAACTCATACGCATGATTGCATTTTATGTTTCCTAGTTGCATTTTATATTGTTGATTGCAAATTATTCTTATATTGGGACACAGGAACTAAAAATAAGTCCTCAAAAACTCATCCTTGATTATGTCTATTTAAGGAGCGTTTTATTGTCGTCAGAGAACCAAGTGGCACATTACGCAAAGCCTCTTGGGAAGAACGGGACCGGATGATACAAGTTTATTTCCCAAAAGAAGGTCGTAGAATTTTGACACCAATAATTTTCAAGGAAGAAAATCTTAAGGTAAGGTGACTTGGGTTTTATATTTTCGAGTTAGTGGTGATTTCTTTGTTGAACTAGCTGGCTCTGGTGCTACCCAGCATTTGGCCTTGTTAAACGCAGATAAACATTTCTAATGGTGACTTGACTAGGGTTTCTCTCTCTCATAATTGGCTTAGCTAGGATTTGAATCCAGGTATAACAATTACAAAGCCCATGTTATTTCTTTATGCTTCTTGATGAGCACAGACGTGGCCTATATTTCGATGGGCAGGCCTATCATAGCATCAGGACGAGTGCTGAATTTTTGTATTCTAATCTGATTCCAACTCTGCGGTGTGGTTTTAGACTATGTATAGCCAGGACCGGCATGTCGATGTCCTCAATCTCTGTGTTGCCCAATTTGAGCCAGATTCTGCTGAGTATATCAAGGTACGTATATTTTATAGTTTCTAAAATATAGTCTTGAATATGGTTATGAGTAAGATTTTTAATCTAACACAATGAGTTTGGTTGTAAGGTTTGAAGGGGAAAGGGAAAGTCTGAAAATCTGTTGAGTACAGATGTGTGTCAGACATATGTATTTTATCCTTGTAGCAATCCTTGATTAAGGATGAGGAAATTTAAGCTTGGAGAAGTAAGTAGCTTGCTGAAAGTTGCATAGCTAGTAAGTGGTAAGGTTAGAACTGAAACTTGTGACAAAGTTTATTCTCTTTTCAATTTACCATATAGGAACAAAGTTATTATATTTACTAAAATTTGCCACAGTGCAATGTGTGTGTGTTATAACTTAATTTAGTAAGTATTCATTAGTACCTTCTATGTTTAAGGTATTGTTATGGGTATTATAGTTGATACCATGAACTAGGAGAGCATGTGCTGTGTCAAAGCCAGCAGTCCAGATATGACTGCGGGAAGGGTGCTAGGTAAATATACAGATAATTATCTCCTTGGGCTTAAAATGCTAGCCACTAAGAGAAGGTTACAAAGTACTCTCAGGAAAGGCTTCATAGGGGTCTTAAAGAGAGTTCTAGAAGGGCAGGAGACATTGTGGCAGGTGGAGTTGGGTGAGGTGTTTCAGGTATAGAGAACAGTACGAGTGACAGGTAGGAAAAAATCAAGTATGTTGAGGAATGGCCTATCATCTGGTTTGCGTTTACATGCAGTGTGTATGTAGGGGAGTGGCTTGACATCAAGCTGTAAAGTGGATGGGGCCACATCACTGTGACCTCTGGTGCTAGGCTGAGGAATCTGCACTTTGGTCAGCAGGCCTTTGAAAGCCGTTTGGACAGAGGAATGCCCTTATCAGTCCTCGTTCAGGAAGATCAATATGGAAGGAGAACTGAAGGAACACACTAAGATGGAATGGATTAGCTGAGGGAATAGGGTAGTTGATGGGATCAGGGAAAGGGGAAGTAGTGAAAAAATATTCTTGATTTCTTTTCTCCCCTAGTGACCAAGAAATGGGTGATACACTATTTCCAGTGGTCTGTTCATATGTAAGAGGTGCTTAATAAATAGTTTGGCTGCTGAAAAGTAATTGATACGGCTATAAATGTTTGGTAGAACTTGCTCCAGGCTGCCACACACTTTTACAGTGGAGAAGGTGCAGATCTGCTGTCATTAGGCAAACTCTTCTTACTAAAACCCTCCATCCCACCTAAGGTGGGTTGTACAAGCAATGGTTTAAATGGTACCTATTAGTTAATGATAAGGAGGCAGCTATATGTGGACCTGGCTTTCCTTTCTTGGGCAGCACTCATGCTAGTCAGTGTACATCGAGTAATGCTCACTTCTTTTATTTTTACATTTCTGAAGACTTGTATTTTACGTGGGTAGGTTCATCACCAGACCTACGAAGATATAGATAAACATGGAAAGTATGACCTTTTGCGTTCAACAAGACACTTTGGTGGAATGGCTTGGTATTTTGTGAATAAGAAAAAGATTGATGGTTTGCTGATTGACCAAATTCAGAGAGATTTGTAAGTATGATCTTATTAAGTAAAAGAACCATTCTTACTGCCCTAATGGTTCATCTGTATTTAAGCTATGATATTTTTCCAATGCTAACAGTGTATTTCCCCGTGAGAAACTGAAGCTTTCACTTAGCTCAGTTTATGTTCTTCTAGCATAACCCAGTTTTCCCAGTCTTTGCTTTTGTGTTGCATAAACAAGGGTAGATTCTTTGAAAGAGTAAGTGGCTTTGGATCTGTACTGTATACCCTGAATATTGACTTATCCAGGGCTCACCAGTGCTCCTGGGTGTCAGTGAACTTTCCAGATACACAAAGGGAAATTAAATAGGAAATGTAAAGAAGTAGACATAAGCTCTGGTGGGTGTTTGTTTTCTGGTAGGACTATTTCTAGGGATTTTCAGTAAAAGGCATCATTTACCTTATGAAAATACTTTCGCTTTAGATATCCCATGCTTTTGTAAGATTTTTAGGGCATGAAAAAGTTTTTTTTCAAAGTAGTGTGAAGCAAAGAATGTCTATTTTAGCATCAAGCTGTTGTGCTCCCAGGCTTCTAGTCGAAAATAATACTGTACTTTAGGACTCATGATAAAACTGAAGACCAATTATTATTATTATTATTTTTTTATTTCAGCATATTATGGGGGTACAGATGTTTAGGTTATATATGTTGCCCTTGCCTCCCCACTCCCCCCCAAGTCCGAGTTTCAAGTGTGCCCATCCCTCGGATAGTGCGCATTGCACTGTTTGTGTATGCATATACCCATCCTCTTCTCCCCCCTCCCCCCTGCCCGACATCCAATAGATGTTAGTCTTATATGTACACTTATGTGTTGATCAGTTAATACCAATTTGATGGTGGGTACATGTGGTGCTTGTCTTTCCATTCTTGGGATACTTCACTTAGTAGAATGCGTTCCAGCTCTATCCAGGAGTATACAAGAGGTGCTATATCACCATTGTTTCTTAAAGCTGAATAGTACTCCATGGTATACATATACCACATTTTATTAATCCACTCATGTATTCACGGACACTTGGGTTGTTTCCACATCTTTGCAATTGTGAATTGTGCTGCTATAAACATTCGGGTGCAGGTGTCTTTCTTATGGAGTATCATTTGTTCTTTTGGGTAGATGCCCAGTAATGGGATTGCTGGATCGAATGGTACACTACTTGTATCTCTTTAAGGTATCTCCATATTGCTTTCCACAGAGGTTGCACTAGTTTGCAGTCCCACCAACATTGTATGAGTGTTCCTATCTCTCCGCATCCACGCCAACATTTATTGTTTTGGGACTTTTTGATAAAGGCCAGTCTCACTGGAGATAAGTGGTATCTCATTGTGGTTTTGATTTGCATTTCCCTGATGATTAGAGATGTTGAGCATTTTTTCATATGTTTTTTGGCCATTATTCTGTTGAAGACCAATTATTTTTGAGCGTCTTTCTATCAGTTGGCTTAGGAAGGCCAAAATGACAAGGAATGGCTGTAGTAAAAAAAACTACTTTCCACAAAAGCTCTTGTGGAACTCTAAAGTCTGAACTACAGGAAGAGGGTTTAGTGATTATTGCCACCTTCAGACTGTTAATTTTGACTAAGAGTATATCCTACATGTAACCTGAATCATACACACAAAGGTAAGGCATTTGGTACTGGAAGGTTCTACATGCATTGTCTTAAGAACTGCAGCCCACATCGGAAACAGTATCATTTCTCTTAGAAACAGCATTCCTCAGGATGACAATTTCCAGGCCAGCCCATTTTGCCAGAATGTGTAGTGTAATCCAAATCCTTCAGACCCAATATGAAGGGGGCCGGTGGTGATGGGGCTGCCCAAATGACTTGCCTTTATGTGTATTATCTCCTATGAATGAATTTTCTACTTACAGAGTTTCTCGAATGTAATCATTCTGAAATTATTAAAACAGTATGTTTTTGTAAAATATTAGAGCAACACAGAAATGTTTAAGTTTGAAAATTAAAGTTCTTTATTGAGGTGTAGTAATATATATTATAGTAAAACCTCCCCTATGGTAATTCTGAACAGGACAGTGAGCTTACTGCAAATCACAGGCTGGACAGTAGAGGGTGCACTGAATAGAGCGTAAGCCAGAGTTTAGATTCTGCACGTTTATTTCAGACTCAAGTCCCACTGTTGGTTTTGTATTAAAACCCTTTTAAAATCTTTTTGAAAATGTAAATTTATTTGCTCCTAATTTCAAATATGGGTTGGGTATTAAGCTAAATTTAAATGGTTCTGTAGGACACAGGCATTACACTTTAGCCTGAACCCAGTGAAGCACTAAACATGATTCTAATAGGTAGAGACCTAGTTAAGCTCTTTATAGGGCCACATGCCTAAGCTTGAAAGGGAATTATTTTCATCTTTTATTCGGGAGGTACTCTGTTGCCATATTTATTGGACTTTGTTAGATTAATAACAAGCACAATAGATTTGTAACAGTTTTTATTTTCTCTCCCTGAAAAGCTTTATCATACAAGTAGCTCTGGTTTCTCAGCTTTCTCAAGAAATGGCCTTTAGGGTAGATGGCCCTTAGGATAGGCCTAGAGCATTTCTCTCACATCACCATGGCTTGTGGAATTCTGTACCTTACTCCCACTGTCACCCTACTCTTCATTCCCGAGCTCAGGTAATGGGAAAGCAGGGAAGGTTAAAGAGTGACAGCTGGGGGTAGGCACTGAAGTAGGGTGTCCTCAGCCCTCCTGCTCCCAACTAGAAGCTAGTAGCTCACTAAATAAGTGTACATAGCAGAGCCTCAAAATATGAACATTTTGGAAGGGTTATTTTTATATTACCCCCCCCCCAACCTTTGAGGTGGCAAATGGTAGGAAGGTGTCATTTGAGAAGATAGTGATTGTTTGGTTTGGGGAGTCTGAAAAGTTTTAATGTTGACAAAAAGTGCCATCAGCATAATTTCAAATTTGCTTTACTAAGATGTGAATTTTTGATGTGTTCTGTGAATAGTCAGATGGCCTGGAGTCTTTCCTTGGACTCCTAGGGGGCCTCTAGTAGAGGCATTTATCTACTAATTTAGTTCTGATGAAAATTTGTTAGCACATGTTGGTAAAACAGGTAACTTTGAGATCCCTATGTCCACCAACCTCCTGCTCGTGGGGGATGAAGTTGTATTTCTGTCCCCTGAGTTGGATTTGATTATTACATGCTGGTGAAGCGGGCTGGCCTGGAAATCATCTACCGTTAGGAATGTTGTTTCTGTGAGAAATGGTGCTCCATTTCCAAAAAGAATGTAGCCACATTGGGAATATATTCACTTTCAGAAATTGAGCACTCTCTGTAGTGACTCCCGCCCTACCTGCCTCACAGAATCTGTGTGAGACCTAAATTAGTCAATTTTCCTGAAAATGCTTTTGAAACTGTAAAACTTGAAGGCTCTCCCCTCCCACCCAACACCTTGCCCCCCGAGCCTGAGGAAAGTCTAAAATGCAATTTAGTTTGAAGCTGGTGCACACTTTTATAGGACTGTGATGCAGATGAAGAAAACCCATGGATAACATCAAGCCCTTTCATTCTCAGAATTGATGATGCCACCAGCTTGGTCCAGCTGTATCACCTTCTCCATCCAGATGGCCAGTCAGCCCAAGAGGCCAAAGATCAGGCTGTTGAGGGAATAAATTTAATTAAGGTAAAGGGTCTTTTTCCACATTCGCTGTTTTGTGGTGGTAAATGAGTTGGGAAGAATTCATAAGTGGGTCATATTTAATGGTAACTAAATAGATTTGCGACTATGGAGCATTTGTGGTCTCAAAAACATCAGTGTGACTACTGACTACAGTCTCTGTATTTCTTCAGCGTGGACAGTAGAAACAGATGGGACGGAGGTGGGGGAAGAGTGCAGTAAAGTAGGGCATGTGGTGGGCATGGTGGCAGCTGGAGTCCAGAGAAGTCTGGATAGTCAGGGCAGCAGCCTTGGTTTTTGGAGCACTCAAAAGGCTGAGCTGTATCTGAGGTAATCAAGTCCCTAGCAGGACAGGGTGGAGGACTAAATAGCACATGTCCTCAAGAGCAGCTTGTCACATCACATCAGGGGAAACAGGCAGGTGTTTAGGAGAGGAGAGGATGGTGCTTGGATACTACCAAGCTTAGTTGTACTCTCACTTTGGAATTGTACACCTCTTGAAACCATGGACTTAAATGGATTGAACTGTAGATGCTGAGAGTTGAGATGATTTTTTTCAGGAAGGGAAAGGGAGATGAGTTTATAACTTCATCTCCTCTAATGCTCAGAATAGACGTGGTTTTGTGGAACCAGCTTCTATCCCAGTAATATTTTTTGCATACTCCAAAACAAGGCTGACTGAGGATAAAAATGACCTGTGCTGGTACACTAGGAAGAGTAGAGAGAAACTATAGTACTAATCCTAATCTTCGATAAGCCAGATAAAGCAAAATGCTTTTGAAGAAAACATTCTTTAAAGTGTAAAGTTAGTTTTCTAACAATTATCCTCTAGATTTCTCTCTAATGATTTTCATTTTGGTCTAGGAGGATGTATGTTAGGGCCTTAATTTTTTCCTGAGAATAGGCTAAAAGATGGCAGCCATATTACGATACTTTTGGTGTTTAGATTTAGTACTGCTTGAACTGTGTTAGGTACTCTTTTTCTACGTTTTGTTTTATAACCAGAAAAAAATTGTGAAACTTAACTGAGACTCTGCTACTAATGATGTCTTAAAATTGAAAACTTTATAAGAAGATTGCTTTAAAACTTTTTTTTTTTTTTTTTAATTTAAACAGGTCTTTGCAAAAACAGAAGCACAGAAGGGAGCATATATAGAATTAACACTGCAAACTTATCAAGAAACATTCGTTGGCCGTTCTGCCGCTTCCTGAAAATAATTTTAAAATACCTTTCATTTTACTAAATACTATGTTTCCAAACTTTGTTAATATTGAACTGAATGCTTAAAAAAATATGAAGATTAAAAGGTACTGATTTGTAGTTCTTTATACAAAGAAAAACCTGTAACCGTACTCACTTTCCTTGGCTACAAGGGGATAATTGAGAAATATATTTAAGTGCTTGGATATGAATTTCTTTAAAAAATTCTGTGACCAAATAGGTTAACAGGTAATTTAGACAGAACCCCACTATTAATAAGGTTAGCAGAACAGATTTCAGGAACGGGTAGCTATTAGATAATGCACTCAGGCCACCCAAGCTACAGATTGAGGGGAATGATGCAATGAGGCCCCAAAAAAAGTGGGAGGGGAGTTTAGAGAATCACAGCATGGATATTCAGTTATAAAAAATAGGTGGTTGATATTTGAAAATGTAGATTTAGTTATGCAAAGAAAGGGAATATGGGGCTGATCCCTAGATGAGGTGTAGTTTTGGCTCAGCCTTCTAAAACTAGAAGCCTATTTTCATTATTCAGAAAGGAAACTGAAGTATCTTCATTGATTCAAAAGGTTTTATGCAATATAGTCTAATGACAATAGGAAAAAAGCCAAAGCCCATATCCACGTCTGACTAGTTAAGAAGGACATAGTGATTTAAATTCTGCACATAAACTCTTAAGATAAGGAGGGCATTATGCTCCCAGTGGTCCACAGCATGTAAAAATCTACTGAGTTTCTCATAGTCCAAAGTACTGTGGTCAGGGTGATGATCAATACCTATATAATGATCTGTTGAGTAAATGGAAGACATTACGTTCAATCATCCAAAATATCTTCATCTAGATTGATATCTGTTGTGTCAATATCTTCTAATTCCAAATTATCCAAATCTACTTCTAGTTCAAGTAAACTCTGTAAACAAAAGGAAGAGGGTGATGAAGTTAGTTATATAGTATCGTGTGAAAGAAAAGTTATCTGGTTCATGATCCAAAGTGAGAACTAAAATTCTTTTACTAGTCAAAAGGGGACCTTCCTACTTCAATGCCCCTGCTCTGAAACTGATTACATCACTTAAACCACAGAGGCCTATATGTCTTATAGATATTCACAGGGAAGAGGGTGGGGTGGGGGAGGTTTGGGTATGCTATCTGACCTACCTTTTCTTCTTTGTTGGCTGTGTGGGAGGTTACAATAACTGGAGTAGGAGAAGGTGGTTTCTCATCAAGTTCCTGAAAACCAAAGGAATTTGCTCAGGAATTTAAACTTTTCCCCCAAGAGGAGGATGATCAGGGTTAGAAAGTGGGAGGTGGTACTTAAAGTCAATCTCAGCCAAATTATCACATGAAGTACTCTACTGACCTGCTGAGGTGCAGATCTGGAGGGCTGAAAGCCTTTTGCCTCTTCCATAACATTTCTCTCTTCATTTGGCTATGAGAGAATAAAGCAATGATAAAATGAGATACTTTGAAATCATAATTCACCTATGAACGTGGCTAAATCCAAGATATTAGCTCTTAATCCAACCATAAAGTATTTAATGCAGCTCAAAACCTGAAGGCAGGAATGCATTCCACCCTGTAGTCACACCAAATGAAGCTTGGCACCCCAGTCACTCACCGTGACAAGCGGATATTGTTTGGCTGGCCACAGATCAGCATGTGTTTCCTTCACCCATTCTTCAACAACAAAGGCTTCTTTTAATCCAGGGAAAAGATTTTCATACTCTGTTGGGTCAGCAAGGGATTCTGCTGCTTTCTGATTGACTTTTGACAGATTCTCTCTCCAGAGTTTCACCACCCTATTATAGATATCATGGAACCAAAGAGAGACTAAGTAAGTGTGCTCTGATTTTATTTAAAACATTTCTTCCTAAAATTAAGTCTATACCTTGACACCTGACTGGGTAAGTAAGTTCGGGCCAGGAAGGCAGCTTCTGGCAGCCGTCCAGTTCTAATCAAGAGCTCCAGGCAAGCATCAAGCCTAAAGATTAAAAAGGAGAGGTACAGTTACCAAGAATAAACACTATAATACTGGCACTTTAACAACATAAAGAAATGTGGATCTAGTGTTGTAAAGCCAAAATTTTCCCAACCCCCCCATACATATATCTCACATCTGTCACTGAGCTATTACTTAATTAATGGTTGTTACTTAACAAAATCAACAGACTTCAAGGGTATGAGGATAAGAGCTTTCATGACCATTTTTCAATCTACTTTTAAGAACTCTTAAGAAGAACCTAAAGGGGCTTTTCAAGAGGAGCTAAGGCAGGTTAGATTATGAAATTTTAAGGGCGTCAGGATATATGCGAGCGGAAATTCAGTTTCACAAGTGGGACTATCTAGGGCAGTATCTGCAACATAGGCTGGGCCAGACAAGCCAGTGGTGCTCAGCAGGAGAATACCAAAGTATCCATTTTTTCTTCTTCAATTTTTAATGTTTTTTTCTGTGCAAATTTTATACAGCAGATAATGTTTTAGAGTTCAGATATTTTTGGATTTTACAAAGGTAATATAGCACAGATACTGTATATTGCCTTTCTCAGCATTAAACAAAAGCCACAAATATTAATATTTCTGCAATAATACATGAATATTAAATGTGATTAAAAAATCATGTGGCATAAAAGCAACTAAAAATAGTATGTCAGTTCAGGTTTTGCCATCAAATTCGTTAAAAAAACTGTTTTCAGAATAATTCTGGGTTTCTGAATTATGGATAAGGAATAATGGACTTATTACAGGTAGCTAAATTTATAAATATATTCACATGTATTGGGGCACACATTCAAAATTTTATGATGAAGTATGGGGTTTTTAAAAATAAGTATGTAGGACAAGGTTAATAAATACTTTTGTGTTTTATCTTATAATACAGCCAACTAACATCCAAATGCTTTGGATTGCATTAACTCTGTGACACTTAAGTTATGCTTTATGGTGAGCTCAAATCTAAAAGCTGGCATCCTTATCCCCCTTTATCTTTGCCATAAATAGATCAAAATTATCCAATTTGGGTAAAATTACTGCCATTCAGGTACCAATTGGAGCAGCTCAAAAGCCTCCTGCAGTCATAAAAGAAAATGCCTTGGCCATTAACTTGCAGGGCTGTTGAGAAAGGGGTTTAACATTTCTCCCACTTGACCCTCCCTATGCTCATTTATCTCAAATATTTACACCAAATATGCCAAGAGAGACTCTTGCTGAAGGTGCCACCAAAGTAGCACTGTCCTTCTCTGATGGCCCCCACTATTCAACACCTTCAGCCATCCTTCAGTTCTCCCTCCAGGGTTGGGTTCAGGAGGGTTCATTCTTCACATTCCTCTCCAAAAACCATCCTCAAAGTCAATGTAGAAATAAGTGCTTTTAATTACTATACTCATCAAGGTCTTTTGGACCTTAGATTGATACTTACTTGCCCTGTAAAAAGTAGCTCATGAATGCCACATTATTTTTGCCATCTCTCTCCGCACCCTCTGCTAGCTTGTTCACCATACTAGCATTTCCAGAGGCAGTGGCCAAAAGCAGCAGACCCCCATAATCCTGCGCATGGTGCAGGCACTCCTGGGCTAGGCCAAACTGACATTTACTAATGGCAAGCTCAGCAAGTTGTTTCCACTTCTGTTCTGACTATAAAAAAGAATTTCCAAGTTAAAGTATCTTTGGAAATAAACATTTACATTTCGAACATCATTATTCTGTTAACTTGAACATTACTGTGTTGACAACGGAAGATATATGTATAGGGAGAGCCATGTTTGTTAAGTTGGTTCTATCAATCAAAATAAGAATGACACTACAAAATGTATAATGAGGAATGGAAATTATTCACATATACAAAATGAATTCACACACAAATCAATTTTAATAACACATGAATAATTATCAACCCATTTTATTTTTATTTTGTTAATTACATAGTGAAACTCAAAACCATCTAACTAGAGTTTCAAGGTAATCATAATTATTTTTAAGTGATTTAATACTTCTTTGAAAGAATGTAAAATTGTTTACGTTCTTAAATATTTAACAATATTATCTCACTTGTAGCTTCTCAGAATCAAATAAAATGCTGTATATTTTGATGATCTTAATATCACTAAAATTTATTTTGCACATCTGAAATTAGTTTACCAGTAAATGCTAGACTTAAACCACAATTGAGAGGCCTCAGTGTACAAAGATCTATAGAAATATCATTAAACTGTCTTTCAAAAATGTCAGAACCCCTCATTAAAGCCAACAACTTTCTTGCTAGTTTGGGATATTGGCATATTACTCCTTTATCTGTACTCTTAGAGTTCCCAGACTAGTTTACCAACTATTTTACATCTTTCCTTCTCTTGTAAAACAGATCTCACTTAAGATAGGAAAATGATTTTTCTTAAACAAATAAGAGTGCTAAGACTATCTCTAATATAATTCATGTAATTTATGCAAAGATTAACACAATGCACCTTTAAGAAAGACCAGAGACAATAACCTCACCAAAATGAGTCACTAATTTGCACTTGAGAAAGCTTTAATAACAAAACATACTAAGCACACACAAGTACCTACTGACCTTTCCATCAGTTGTGAAAAATCATGAATTAGTACATACCTCTGCTTCTACTGCTAATTGGTACGCAATTTTTAACTCTCCAAGTTGAAGAGCAAGCTCGAAACGATGCTCAGGATCTGTGGATACTGTAAGAGCTTGCTGCTTGAAGCCCTAAACAGATTAAGAAAAAAAAAATATAGTAGGTATATATGTGTGTGTATGCATACAAAAATGTGTATGTGTATTAATAGTATGCATATGCAGTGCACACACATCCACAAAGTAAATCCTCCATTTCCCTCTAAAACTAAAAATACCTTGCTGACATAGAAACCCTACTACTTAAACAAAAGCGACAGTTAACAAAATACTATTTGATGAGAAAACAGAAAAAATTAAAGTCATTAGATTAAATGGTAGGAGCAAACCTGGCAGAAAAAATGTTCAGTCACATAATGCTTACTGTTTTTTAGGGTAGTGGAAAATGGCCAATGCTAGATAAACTCAAGTAAAACAACTAGTAAAATTAGAAATGTAAACAGAAATGTCAAAAAGAAAGGGATTTTAGAAAGTTGATTGAATAAGAATCATTTCCAAAGAAGAAAACTAGGCACAGAGGTGTAAACTTAGCTGTTGGTAATCTACTCATCTGGGCCTTAGAGATCATCTAGTCCAGTCCCTCACTTTGCAGATGAGGTTACTGGCAGTAAATGGGCAAAAAAAGGGAAGTCAAATATAAAATTTTGCAACATTCTATTACCTGTAGGTCATTTGGCAAACATTTTGTATCAAGGTCCATACACTGGTCAGTTGTCATTACCTATGCCTTTATTTTTGGTCTCATGACCAGTTTATTATTAGCAAGTATCCTAACCTAAGGGACAAAATGTCTAAAATTTCCTTCCCATGCTCCAATAAGCTAACAGGAATAAGCCTTTAAACCAACTATTATAATAACTAAAATTAGCTTCTCTTGTAAGACAAACTACTGATGGAGTCTGCCCTGTGGGCAAGTTTTTCACCTGTAGGATTGTGGTGTGTTGGACAAAAATCTCAGGGCTAGTTTACCTCTCATCAGACTGAGGAAGAATGCTCAGTAATGACATGATCAGGATTGAGTAGTTGGATAGTTTTCAAGAGTTCTGTTTGGCAGATCTTCAAGATGGCTTTATTATTGTGTGTGTGTGTGTGTGTGTGTGTGTGTGTGTGTGTTTTAAAGCTAGTCAAGCATGGTTGGAAGGGGAGAAAATGTCAAATCAGCTTAACAATAACCCACAATCCTCGGACCAACTTATCACTGTGTGTGAAATGTATTAACTTCTCAGATTCTAAATAATCTGAGTTACTCCTTTTTTTTTCACTAGCACTGGTACAGACAACATAAAACCCAAGAGTGGAAGATGGAAGTTTTTTACAACTAGACAAGTATAGGCAAGGGGAAAGCAGATGAAATGAGATGGGCTAAACATACACACTTTTGATTTCCCCTAAATCCCCACTAAAATCACACTCAAGGGATCTTTTTTAAAGGCATGAACTCCCAAAGGACATACAGAAAGGGAGAAGAAACATTACTAACAAAATTTTGGAAGCTGGAAGCCTGGTAGAGGAGTATAAACACTCTGTTAAAACACTAGAGAAAAAATCCTAAATCAGGAGTGAGGAAAGCATAGCAACAACCTGATTCATACCTCAGAACGCCCAAAGGTATCTAATGAAGAGTAATACTAAAACAAACAAAAAAACTGCCCTAAAAGCAATTAAATAACCCAGATCCACTCCTCTTTCTCCCATCCCATGACACACAAAGACAGGCTTATTCCTTGGAGAGGGTAAACTAGAGGGTATCCAGCCTAGGAGATACTCAGCACACCTTGAGGGAAGAATACTGAATATCAAAAGGAAAATAGGAGTTATGAAAATGGAATATAGACTAAATGAAATATAAATACTCCAAGCTGTCCTCTACTCAGCCTCCAGAATGATGGTGATTAGGGAGCGTCTCTGTAAAATCTAAACAACCCAAGGGGAAAGACCTAAAAATACTAAAATGACAACTCCATGAGAGCTATATGTCAGCTAGAACAGTGCCTGGTACATTAGTGATCATTAAATACATTTAATGAATGAAAAGTCACTAAATGCACTGGATGAAAATATTGATGTTGAGGAGCCCTCATCAAATGGGCCAACCACATCACATATTGTGAAGTCTGTGCCCACTCCCCGCAATTCAGATCTTTAAATTTGCTTCTTGGACCTCTGCTCTTAAATAAGGGCCCAAGGATCATCAGATACCCAAGGAAAATCTTCAATAGGAAAGACAGAGATCAAAACAAAGCAATAAAAGCAACTTGAAAAACGCATACTATGTAAAAGAAAACTTTAAAAACCAAAAAAAATCACCCATATTATAAGAGAAACTTTCATCTATAAACTAGAAGATCTAAAAAGTCAGAGAATAACAAAGTAAGAAAACCAGTGCAGGAAGTTCAACATTTGAATAATGGTTCCAGAAAAAGAGCACACAGAAATCGAAGGAAGGAAATCACCACAGAATGATTCATGAGAATCTCTTAGAAATGAAGGACATGAGTTTCCCATTTAAAAAGCTCATCTAATATCCACAGAATGAATGAAAATTGACCCCTACATCAAGGCCCACCATCATTATAACATTTCAGAACAACAGGGACAAGATCCAAGAAGTTTCCACAGAGAAAAAACAGGTCACATACCAAGAATTGGGAATAAAAATGGCAGTGGGGTGAAAGAAAGCTAAATCTTTTTTCTTAAATGGAGTAGAAAGTCAGAAGAAATGCCTAAAGCTGAGAAATGAAGAAATAGCTATACTGCTTGCTATGTTGCACGTTATTACTTAAAGATGTGGAAATAAATACCAAAAGAGTTAGGTTAGATAAAATAATTAAAAGTATTTACCTCTAGGGAGTAGGAAGCAGAGAGGGGCGGGCTGCTTTTTCCTTAAGCCTTGCAGAACTCACTTTATGCTTTGTGCATACATAACTTAGATTAAAAAACACTAAGAAAAAGGCATGTTGCTAATGATGAATTTTATGTGTTATTTTACCACAATTTAAAAAAAGGCAGATGAGATAGAGAGAAAAATGTAGTATAGGGAATGAAAATATTAAGACACTGGAAAAGAGGTGTATAGAAGAGGAAGACTGGTAAATCACTTCCAACATTTAAGGGGGGTACTAAGAACACTGAGAAAGGAGAAGGAAGTGTATAAGGAGAGTGCACCATATGCTGTAATAAGTGCCTTAAATTTACAGGAGAAATTCCATTGCCATAGGAAATCAGTGGTGATTAAGAAATTAAGTTTTTCAAATCCACACTAACATTCTTTCATATTGCTAGTTTTAAAAACAAAAGGAAAAGAAAAAGCCTCTTACCTGCTTTTCCAAAAAGTGTGCAACTCTGGTCCTCTGTTCTTTTGGAATGGTAGGAAGGACCTTATCAGCCATGCTAAAGTCCCTTCTCATGACAGCTGTCTGGTATTCCAGGACTGAAACCAGCAAGGAGTAGCTAACGATGTTCAATTCTTTATCCCCAAGATAAAGCCTGTTGTCTTTAGGAATATAGCCCAGGAGATACATTGTCCTATAATAGCAACATAAACTAAATTAGAAGTAAGCTCAAATCTGAAGTTAAACACACACATACACATCACACCCCAACCTGCCTCTTGCTCAAAATCTTTCCATTTGATGAATGCAATTTTGGTTAACAATAGACAACCTACTAAAACTATAACACTAAAAAAATCACCCAATTGTTGCTATTAATACAAGCCAGCAACAGATTTTGTTTACAAAGCACACTTTAAAAATTTACGTCAAATGCAAAATCACACTCAGCTACCTGTCCAAGTGGGCAATGGTGACTATTTCTCCTCCAACATAATAATTTAATCTGTTCACAGAACTCGTGTAAATGAAACAATCGCCTACCCACAGCCCTGTTTTCACAATTTCCTGAATCTCACCAAGAACCTGCAGAAAGAAAATAGATTATTATTACCTTATCCAACATTAGACATCTGTCAGTAACATAAAGGGTGATAAGGTTGAATAAGGAATGCAAAATAAAATCCTATTTCAAAAAAGAAAAATCTTTCCTTAGGATTTCTCTCTTCTTTCTTCATTTAAGAACAGATTCCCAGGTTAGTATTTATAATGTGAAATCTCATTGTAGATTCAAAAACCTCCTAAGTCACATGAAACTGGAATATTGGTGTTTCATAAAATCTTCTAGGACATCTCCACAATGGATGATTTGTCTTTACTGTTTGGGAGCTCATTTAAATCCCTACGGCTCAACAGTTTTGGACCAAAACAATTACACATTTCCTTACTGAAAGATATCAAAGATAAGTCTAAAGAGTCCCTAAAATCAAAGCACAAATTTCTCTTAAATGTATTTACTTTCAGATTCTGATCTCTGAGCCAAGATTTTAATTTTCACATTTCACCAGAACCCCTTAAATGCTTAGCCTCCCGAAACCTAATTTATAATGAAATGTTAAAATTGGTGAAGTCTGTTATAAGAATATAAATCGTTTCAAAACAAAGCTAAAGTTGTGCTGATGCAATTACCTCAAAGGCATCTTCAATGCCATCTTCAGTTACTCCCTCATGTGTTTCCTGTGCAGCCAAGACTTTTTCCGACAGATACTTAAGGATAAAAAATGATTCCTCGGTGGCAATACAAACTAGCTCTCCAGAGTCTGACCAGAAAATCTGCAACATGACAAAAACACAGACAACTGATTCGGATTTCTGAGTGGATAGGACAAACTACACACACTTTGTTTCTTAAAAGATTTATCTTTTTATATCAACATAATAAGTATACACCTAACAATTTTGTGTAGTGTATTTATATATGTATATATTTGGGAGAGTAGACAGGGCAGGGCTGTTCTATTTAGCCTACTAACAGACCAAAGGGAGACAGGAAGGAGGGCTCTCAGGAAACATTGGATGTGCTATAATTTAGAGAAGCAGCAGCCTATTCCCCATCGCTCTAGAACAGTGTATCTCACCCTTTATTGTCATTATTACTCACCCTCCCCAGGAGCCTCTTTAGCATTTTTTTTCCTAATCACCTGCCCCAAAGAAATTTTAATACCACAGATATAGTGGATATCTGTTTATACATATGTGATACACACACATATACCTCTCTATGCTTCATACATAAACAGAGTAAGTTTTTTTCAACCCCCTCCAGGAACCAATTTTTGTCCCCTTGGGGACACTATTGCCCCCACTGAGAATGCATGCTCTAGAATCAGACCCCAGGGAGGCTGGTTTGTCTTCAAAGACAATTTCCTGACAGTGAAAGCTGTCAAAGTAGTAGGCAGTTCTAAAGGTAGAATACTTTGTCACTGGAGATGGTCACCTGAAGTTCAGGCAGCCATCATCAGGTAAAATAAGAAAAGGTTTCTAAACTGTGTGGGAGCTTCTCTGGCCTTTCCAAGTCAAGAATTCCCTGACTTCTTGTCTTCAAAGTATGAAAATATAAATAACACTTGGACTTTGTACAACTTTTTATACTTCCAAAAATATCCAACATTTATCACCTCATTCAAATACCACAATTCTGATTTTCTGAGAAAAAATGGCACTGTGTCCAATACAGTGTAACGGGGATGGCAGGGTAAAAGAACACTTCTTGGCCTTAGGGACCCAGAACTCACCACAATGATAAACATTCCAAAAACAACAAAGGATGGAAAACTCACATGTTTGGGTTGAATTTCAATTCTGCGTATGAGTTCTGTATTGTCCCAGTCATAGAAGGCTAAGCCATTTACAGATCTGACTCCCAATAAGAAGCCTCCGTAGATACCTAAAAAGAACATAGAAATTTTTGCTTAGATGTTTTTGAGCCATTACAAAGCTTCTAAAAACGTATCCTATATAAATAACACTCACTTTCAGCTCCAAAATCTGGTTTAAATGATTTTTTTTCCTTAAAATTCTTAAATATCTTTACAATGCTGTTGCTCTCTCTTATCGCATATCTGGGAGAAAAAAAGGAAAGCAAAAATAGCATATTATATACTAAACTATAATTCCACCATGTGTTAGAAATATCTTCAAATATTTTTGAGTGATCATGCAAAAATATAAAATGAATATTTGAAGATTCACTGATGTATTTTTTCCCTAAGGGATCAGTGAATTCCTTACAGTTGTACAAATAATGTATGGGTTTCATAATATATATTACACAAATTACTAGGACTTACAAGCATTGTTGAAACTGGAAATGACCCAAATGTCCATCAACAGGTGGATGATTAAACAAATTGTGGTATATTCATATAATGGAATACTACTGTGCAAATAAAGGAACCAGTTACTGATCTAGACAACAGCATGGGTGAACTTTGAAAACATTATGCTGCGCAAAAGAAGCTAGATACAAGAGTGCATACCATATGATTTCATTTATATAAAACTCTAAAGATGACAAATCTAATCTATACAGTGACAAAAAGCAGGTAAGTGCTTGCCTGGGACTGAGGAGGGTGAGGAGTGTGGACTTACTGTTAAGGGAAATAAGGGGCTATTTGGGGGATGACAGAAATGTTTCATAATTTGATGTGTTCATGGTTATGGATTATATACATTGATTTGTCCAAATCCATTGAAATATACATTATTCCCCCCCCCGTATCTATGGGGGATATGTTCCAAGACTCCTAGTGGATGCCTGAAACCTGCAATAGTACCAAACCCTGTAAGCACTACGTTTTTTCCTATACAGTCATAGGTGGGTAGCATATACGGCATGGATGTTCTAGACAAAGGGATGATTCACATCTCAAGCAGGATGGCAGATTTCATCATGCTACTCAGAATGGCATGTAATTTAAAACTTATTATTTCTGGAATTTTCCATTTAATATTTTTGGTTGAGGTTGACCCCAGGTAACTGAAACAGCAGAAAAATAGCAGATAAAGGAGGACTACTACATACTTAAAATGGTACATTCTGTTCTGTATAAATTATACCTCAATAAAAGTGATTTAAAAAATAAAACAAGTGGTGTACTAGTCAGCAATGTTCAGCAACACATTACAAAACTGTTTATATTCAGGCCTTGGAAAAAAGGGCTGTGGCTGTCACTGGATATTCGAGATTGTGTGAGGAGGTGATGTGGTAAGTGCTTTGCTCAGGACAGGAGAGACGCTGAGCAGGGTCTTGGGTGGACAAAGCTGAAAAGGAGGAACTATCGAAACAGGTATATTGAGAGAAGTGAGCCAATTAACGAACTATAGATGCTCTAAGATGATAATAAAGTACTTTTTAGTGTATAGAATTGTGCATATATGAATGTATTTAGGAAATTTATAAAAAGATGAAAATAATTCCTTATCTCAGTAAATTTTAGTAATTATAAAATTTTAAAAAATGCATCTTATTATGCAGTGCTGAGGCTCAAGTTACCCCACTGTTGGGAACAGGAGGCAACATAAAGTGTGGGGAAAATAAAACAAAGAAAACTATGAAGATGTAATAGAGTTGTGTGGTCTGAAAACACCAAAGCCATAATGTTTATTACATGCACCAAACAGGAATAAAAAAAGGAACCAGAGTCAATGACTATCTGGTAAAACAATTCAGAGTTAATCCGTTTTTCTTGCTTTTAATGTGAACATTCTGAATTCAAACAGAAATTCAATTTGTTAGAAATGGAACCTGGGTCACATCACAGACAATGAGTTTTAAAAAAGATTCAATAAACTTCTTGTCAAAATGACATCAAACCACAACATCTCCCCTAATTAGCTCATAAAGAGGCAGCAGCACCTTAGGACACCATGTCACAGGGAAGGTCTGCCAAGGCCTGCCAAAGTACACTTGAGGCCTACTTTGCCTTAAGCCTGTAAGTGCCAGATCCTGCCAAGAGCTCCATCAAGGAAATGGGTGCTGGGTCCCCAGTTAAATGGGATTATTACATCAGTTTGAGTGAGCCAGCCCCATACTTAACATAGAAAGGGCAAAGACAGCTCGTGCTACATAGTTGCCTCTGACTCTAATCTTCCAATGGGCAGCTCTGGTGAGAATTGTTTTTTAACACAGAGAAACACAGCCCATGCCCAGCCTTGAGAATCTCTTTTATATAACAGTATAGAACACCCATCTGCAGTCAGGGAAAGCTGGATATCATACAGACAAAACTTACTCTGAAGAATCATGGGCCCACGCAAATTCTTGGGCAGACCCAAAGCTCTTGTTTCTCAATGCCATTGCTGTGTAGATGATATACTCCCCATCACCACACACCACCACAAACCTAGAAATTACAAAAGCCAAGGAAGGAAGTACAGAGGACCAAAGTTAAGTAACAATAATTAATCTTTACGGTAAAATAATTCTAATAACAAGTGTTATTTTTAGTCAATTATTAATATAATTTTATATCTTTTAAAGTTATACATTTCTTTGAATACAGAGCTCCACAAAAATATTCTAGCCAACAAATCCAAAAGCAAATTATAAATACGGCTCTATTGTTGAAAATGTAATGGCAATGGCCTTCTCTTATAAACAAGAGATTGGGGACAGAAATGTGAGAATGGCTGGAGATGCATAGGAGGAAGGTTCCAATTATTCAATTAGTATTTGTTGAGCACCAAGATGCTTAGCACTTTGCTCATGATATTCACACCATACGAAGGTGTTATCTTATTATAAGACTATCTTCATTTTAAAATTGATTATTAAAATGAATAAAAATATCTTAATCTAGTTTTTAATGACTGTTAAATTTATTAAAATAAACAGAATATTTTAACATCCAAACAATGAGTAAAAATAGAATGTTGCATAGTCAAATAAAATTTTCCCAATAGACCTAACTCTCTTTAAGGTTATCATTTCTAACACATGCTCCTTGCTCTCAAAGGAGCACACAAGAACACAAACCCAACACATAAGAAATAAAAGTAAACACAACACTATTTAACTGTTCAAAAAGGTGTGGTAGACAACAGGGCCAGGAGGGCAAATGTGCTCCACCGTACATGCCAATTTGATCAACTGGCATGGCTGCCTGCCTGCAGCTGTGTTGAGGATTGTGAGGAGAGGCAAGAGCTCAATGGGAATGATCAGAAACATCTACCATAGGGCAGGAATGGAATACACTATGGATATATAAACCCGCTCACAGAAGGTCAGAGAGATTTTGGTGATGGCTTACCGCCCATTAGGATTGTGCTGAATAGTCTGAGGGTATATTTCACAACTGCCCATATCCTTTACTGCCAGTGGCAATCTTTCCCCATCTTTAATTTCAGCATCTCCCATTGCTTTTAGGTTGGCCTGCTGGACTTCTGAATGTTTGGCCCAAATTATCTTTCCATTGGCATCCATGGACATGGCGGGTTCCTCCCGACCAAGCTGAAACAACGACAAATGGCTCTTAGCAATGAAAAGGAAACAAATAAAACTACAACAAAATATATAGTCTTTTTTTTACTTAACAGAGAGCTCTATTCCCTTTTTTTATTAGGTCTTAAATATGAAATGTCTGAGTTTGAATCAAAATTTTAGTTTATCTCAAACAAGAAGCAGTACAATTAATCAAAGAATGCGCCAAAAGTATCAATACAGTTTTGTCATCTTAACGGTAGCTTGTTTATGTCAGCAGCAAAGAAGCCTGGAGAGCGAGTGACAATGAAATTGCTAAAGGCATTTTTCGTAGCTTGTTGAGAATTGAATATTTCTCCTCGCAAAAAGTGGTCCAAAGCCTGGAAGAAGAGGCAGTCAGTTGGTGCAAGGTCTGGTGAACAGTGGATGACAGAGAGTTTCCAAGTCCAACCTCTGTAGTTTGAGCAGCGCTGTTTGTGGGCCACACGGTCGAGCATCGTCTTGCAAGAGCATTGGCCTGTCTCTATTGACGAATCTCGGCTGCTTAATAGCAAGCATCCTCACCATTTTGTCCAACTGGTTATAGTACAAATCTGCTGTAATCGACTGACCAGGTTTCATGAAGCTGTAGTGGATGATACCAGTGCTGGACCACCAAACAGAGAGCATTAGCTTTTTTGGATGACTATTTGGTTTTGGACTGTGTTTCAGCACTTCATCTTTATCCAACCGAGCATTTATCCAACAACATGCTTGCGATTATCAAAAAGTATCCATTTTTCATCACACGTAACAATATGGTGTAGAAATCGTTTGTCTTTATGTCATGACAGCAAAGAAAGGCAAGCTTCGAGAAAATTTCTAACACTCATTTAATTCATGTGGTACCCATCTATCCAGCTTCTTTACCTTGCCCATTTGTTTCAAATGGTCCAATATTGTTGGGAATAATATCAAACCTTGCTGCTAATTCATGTGTAGGTTGAGATGGATTTGCTTCCACTATAGCTTTCAGCTCATCGTTATCCACCTTGGTCTCAGGTCACCCACGTGGTTCACTTTCAAGATTAAAATCACCAGAATGGAACTTCTTAAACCATCGAAGTATTGTGCATTCATCAGCCACATCCTTCCCAAACACTTCACTGGTATTTTGAGCTGTCTGCACTGCACTGGATCCACAACGCAACTCATATTTGAAAATAACTTGAATTTTTGACTTATCCATGGCTTCACAAAAATTGCTCTAAACAAAAAATTTGAAAGATAATCACAAGCCAAACCATGTGTTTGAAAGAATAAGGATGTACCTTCACAATAAAAATAACACAAGAAGTGTCAAAGTGAAACGCCAGAGATATCAACTATCAAACTTAGTATTTAAGGAAATCGGACATTTAATACTTAATAACCTAATACATTAAATGTCCATTGCTTAATCTCTAGTACTTAATGAAAGAAGTGCCAGTTTAGTGAAACTGGTGACTTGGAAGATGACAGTGTTAAAATACAAGGTAAACTGCTTTGCCTATGTCCATCTACTTAGAGAGATAGTATAATTACCTTAACAATGATGCTCCCTTCGTCATAGCCCAAAGCAACATTGTTGGACCCTCTTAGACTGGCCACACACCATACCCTCTCCATTCCATAATTTAATGTGCTCTCAAGTCGGTAGGTACTTGAATGCCAAATACGCACTGTTCCTAAAAAGAACAATGTGAATATTCTCTTTTGATAACAAACATCCAACAATAAACTGTGTCAGGTGAACAAGCCACATGGAAGTCTTTCTATTGAAGTAAAACACACTTCCTGGCAGCGTAGCAACTGTTTTTGGTCTAGTCTCTAAAAGATTTTATAAAGTAATATAAACATAGTAATAGAAAATGTATAAGAAACTAAAACTAAGAAATGTGATTTTAAGTGTGAAATAATTAAAGGATTTTCTGGGTACAGTGCTTCCCATGTGCCAGATGCTTTCCACCCATGATTTCTTTTCACCTTCTCACTAATGCTATAAAGTGAATATATGTATTTCCATTTCATAATTTTCCTAAACCACACATTCCTGAAGTGGTAGAAACTGAATTTGAACCCAGGTTTGTTTGACTCTGAAACGCATGCTCTTTCAGTTTTTCTTTAGGACATCTGGGTGTCCTCTTATTTAAGGATAGCATCAAAACACATTAGAATGATGATGATGATATTAATAATAATAATGCCCATTTACTCTTTTATAGCTTCAGCCTAGTACTCTAATAAAAATATCAAAATCCTTGGAAACCTTCAATTACAATGCAGAGACACTGCCTGGTTTAAATATCTACCGAGTAATTACTAGCACAGGAATAAATATACACTTTTAACTTACCATCTTCTGAACCTGTGATGATAATTGGCAACTCGGGATGAAAACTGGCACAAGACACATTTTGGGCATGTCCCTCCAGGGTCTGCACACAGGTTTTATTCTGTAATTAAGACACAGAAAACATTATCTATTAGTGAAAAACCTGTAACCAATCCACCCTTAATTTTTTCAGTGCATAGATACATTATAAATGATAGTAGTTATGACAACTTAAATAGTATCCAATACAGAAATTTTTTAAAATAGAATAATCTTGTTATATATGTGAATTCTCTAATTATTTCACAAAATAGATACACGTCAATGTAACTATCATATTAAAGAAAAAAAAAACCAAGTAAGTTTTCGTCTGAATATTATTGCCCCAAATTCTTAGGATAATAAATTTTCCCCTTTATATTCACACCTACCGTCTGTGGACTAAGTAGATAGTGCTGTTTTAGCTTTTAATATTTTTATTCTGTATTTAAGTAAAAATTTGAAAAAGTTTGAGGGTAAAACTGGTTTTCTAGGCCTCATTTCATTAACTGCTTAAAGAAACTTCTTATGTGAGGAACAGAAACAAAGAAATTTAAGAAAATCTTGGAGATACGAAGCATGGTAACAAGAGTTCCTAACTAGGTTTACAAGCGTTCTATGTGGCAAAACAGTTGTACCATAGCTATATCATGATATTGTTTACTGATCTGCTAGTTTTCAAATATAAATGGAAGTATGCCAACAAGGATACTGGATGATGTATAATTTAACACTAAAATGTTAAAATTTCTAATTTCTATTATTAAATGAAAAATAAACATTCTGGCATTTTATTTTTAAAATCTTGATATGCATGTGTTCATTTTTATGGATAATTCTGGAGCACAGTTTAACTACAAATCCTTAAGACTTTAAATTATGCTATGAACAGAGTTCAACAACCCAAGTTTTAACTGTCCTGTAAGAAATAGTAAGAAACACGTCTAACTTATGGCATGGAAGGTTATGAAAAAACTGTACCTGATAATCCCATATTTTAACAAGACGGTCATCTGCACCTGAAATCAGGTATGGTTTGTCGCCACCACTGTAGTAATCGATGCAATTCACGCCTTTCTCGTGTCCTTCCAGAGTGAAGTTTGGTGAAGAAGAGCCCAACTGCCACACCTTCAGAGAACAATAGCAAATGCCAGTCAACACAGGGCCCTGCTTTTCAGAAGGCAGATCCACCACACTTCTGACATATTATATAAAATGCCAAAGCCCAGGAAAGAAAAGTTAAGAAATACTCATTTTTTTCACCTGTTTTTGTTCTTTCTTACTTTACTTGAATTTCCAGGGGGCAGAATCACTATACTGTTCTCTGAAAATGGCAATTTCCAGGCTTTATCCCTAGAGATTGTGATTCAGTTGATCTACAGTGAAGTCCAGGAATCTTAGATGTGTAAGACTTTGAAAAAACCTTACTTTAAGGGTAAAAAATGATTTTATGAGACATTTAATATAGAGCTAATGGAAGTGGATTTAGTAAGATATATTAAAAGAAAGTTACTACTTAATTAAAAAATTTCAAGTACAGAAAAGCAGTCAAAAGCTCCAACAGCACATAATTGAGCTTTATCTTTTTTACTGAGTGCCTACCACATAGGAGGCCCTGTGGGGAGTATATATAAACAAACGTTTACTGCTTACTGTATACAATAAACTTTACTGGAACCAAAGATAAAATAATTCTTATTCTCAAGATAAACCTAATTTAGTGAAGAAAGTTTAAAACTAAGTTCAAAGTTTCCAACTTATGTTAAAAGTAAGGACAATCCTATGAAAAGGAAAAAAAGGTCAAAACCCTAAGGTATTCAGACATATAACATATTATGCAAGTTAAAAGAAAACTAATAAAAATGTTATATAGATGTAATCAAACATGTGTAAGCGAAAGTTAATTTGATTTTAAATCTATACATATAGAGATATTTTAATTAATTAATTAATTTATTTATTTATTTTTAATAGAGATGGGGTCTTGCTCTTGCTCAGGCTGGTCTTGAACTCCTGAGCTCAAGCAATCCTCCTGCCTTGGCCTCCCAGAGTGCTAGGATTACAGGCGTGAGCCACCATGCCCGGCCAAGATATTTTTAACATTATGATGGAAAGGAATATGACTGCATTCACAGCAACATGTATTAAGCATCTAGTACAGGCAAGACACTGTGCTGTTTGTTACTGAATGTCTGTTTGGGCGAAGACAGTGACACCCAGTTCCTGCCCTAAACATCCAACATTTCACAGGATAAAGATTTCCAAAAACACATTAATTAAGATTCAATGTGAGAAAGGCTGTAATAGAGGCAAAAAGCAATGGAAGGAATGGGATGAGTATAACTGGCTCTGTCTAGAGGTGAAGGAGATGTCTGACAAGAGCTTCTCAGAGTAAATATTTGAGCTAAACCTTGAAAGCTGAGTAGCTCTCCAGAGAAAAATAAATCAAAATAGAAATAAAATAAAGAGAATGCAGAAGAAACAGTTAAATAAGGTAAAGTTCTGTGAACATTCATGGCATCTCTAGAGGATGGTCAGTAGACCAAGGTTTTAGGAGATGTCTTATAATATTAGCCCAAGCTAGTCTTGGAAATCCTTGTATTCCATACTAAGGCACTTGGACTTTATCCTTAGATTGGGAACTGACAAGACAGAATCTATGTTTTAGAAAGATAATGACAGCAGTATGGGAAACTAGAATAAGAGAGAGAGAATGGAGGCAGATGAAATTTAAATATATAAAATAGATCAATAACGAGTGGAGGTCAATGAATACACTAAAAGGAGAGGAAAGCAGTAACCTAAAAAAGATATTGGTGTTTTTCTTATTTTGGGTTTCTGAAGGCTACACAAATTTTACAACATGTTGCTTCCACACAGACAAATGCTCCTGCATTAAGAGCACTGGGTTGCCACAATATTTTTCTACACAAAACATGTCCTTCTGGACTGAAATTAGAAGTCTTATTTTGACTTCAAAATAAGCTTTTGAGAAAAACTCTCAAAATAAGTTTTTAGAAAAACTTCTAAGACAGGAATAATTGGCCAGCCTGTAGTAAAATGCCTAAAACAATTATATGTTACTGACAATGATAACTGACACAAAAAGTAGACACCCTACCTTGATGGTCCTGTCCAAAGATGCACTGGCAAACTGATTATTATCTTTGGGGTTGATCACAATCTGCATTACATAATGGGTGTGTCCTTCAAACACTTGTGAGCAAGACCATTTTTTATCCCAGTCCCAGAGCTTAATAAGCATATCATCTAGGCCAAAAGAAAGTCTCAAGTTAGGTGCAATTTCTATTTTTTTTTCCATTTCAGAACTAAGACACAGAGTCTTCGTGCCTTTTAAGGCAGCAAACCTAACACAAATCATACATTCCATGACTTACAGAAACAGAATCAAAACTAAATAGATTTTTTAAAATCCTTATCTATCCTATGAATAAACTTAACTCTCTATTAAAGTGGAGATAAATAAAATAGATTAACAGCAAATATAAAAATTTTGTGAAAAAATTTAAGAAAAATTCAGTGAGCTTTAAAGAATCACAAAAGAGTAATATGTTTGATTAGAATCTAAGTATGACTGAATAATGATGGCAACGACTAGAGAACAAGCATTTGCTCTTATTGGTTTAAAAAAGTTTTGAATTACATCTCAATTTTTAATTTAAAAATGTTTCAAAGAGCTATTACCAATTCAGTGCTACTTGTTTTAATTGCCCTCCAAAAGGTCCACTGTTTTATACATAATACTAAGGAGCAAACTAATTTGAATATAAAGATAAAACTGACTAGGGTCTATGACAATCTGCCAAAAACTCATTCACCAGGATGCAAATGAGCTTTCTGTTTAGCAGATGTTTAAACATCTAGACCTTCAGGTCTTTCCTGACAATAGAGCAACTGCTATACAAATCCTAAGTATAGCTGATATTTTATTGATAAGCAAGCAGCATCAATAGCACAGTAATGGATCTAAATAGTTTAAAGGCTGCCTGGAATTAGAACTCTACTTATAACGGAAGTTAGAAAATATCATGTCTCACTGAATGAAAACGAATTACCCAAAGAGATGCACATGACCAAAAGAAGTCATCTCTTACCACTGCTAGTTAGAATGAAAGGCTGGGTTGGATGAACAGCGATACAGCGAATGTAGTCTGAGTGTGCTTCGAACATATGGACTCTCTCCAGAGTATTGTAATTGAACACTCTAATCTGCATGTCATCCTAGAATGGAAATTTTAAAACCATCATCACTGTTATGAAGTAAATTGTATGAAAAACTATATTATAGGCTCAAAGAATGAAGTTCATATTTCAAAATACTGCACTGATAAAACAAATCAGGAATCAAAATTCTGCAACTAATTTACATAATCACTGAGCAATCCAGAAAATGGAATTAGAGATTCATATAATCACTCACCGCTCCTGTCACAACCCAATTCTTCCTTGCAACAAACTTTGCAGCGCGAACAGGAAGATCACACACTTCGAATGTCTTCACCAATGTCTTTAAATTTTAAGAAGAATATACACATTGAGTTATGAGAGAATATCTGAAAAATCTATTCTGCTATATTTAATACATCCAATTATTTAGATCACTTATAATTTTGATATGCTCTCAGGCTAAAATATTAAAGCTCAACATTAAAATGAGAAAAAAATACACCAATCATCTTTTCTTTAATAGATTCAAAACTAAAATACTTTTAGAAGATAAGAGAAAGCAATGTCCACAAGATGTTATTCCAGATCTTCTGTGCTCTGGCCCTTCCCTCCCTCTCTAGCCTCTCACCTTTGGCTACCCTCAGTCTCACCTCTGTGCCTGTTTCCTCTGCCTGGAAAACTCACCCATGGAAACTTGTACTCCTCTTTTGCAATGTAGTAACTCATAATTATGTGTTTAATGTCAATCTTTCTTGCTATGCTAAGGGCAAGAATCTTGTTCACTACTGTATACTGAGAGCCTAGAACAGTGGCTGGTACACAAGTAGTACATGATAAGTCTTAGTATTTGTTGAATGAATTGGCTCTTAATTTCTTCTTTTTAAAAGTAAAGCCCACAGAAATGGCTCATAAACAAGGTACGATTCTTTTGCATGCTTTAACAGTATGATTCCATACGAATGCTATTTATTTCTTTTAGCAAAACATAAAAACACAGTGATTTATACATTCCTTCAAGATGCTTGGAGTGGAATTATATACAAAGGATAAAGGCAGAAAACTAGGAGACCCTCCTAGAAAGAGCAGAGATAAATGCACCTCTTTGTCCTCCCTTTTTGATGCCTTAAAAGTCTGAAACTCAAAGTATCATTTTTCAATCCCTCTTTTTGTACTAGAAAGCAACAATGAAATAACTAAAGAACCCAATACAATCTTACTGATTAACCACGTACACTAAAAAAAAGAATAGGGACTGGGTCAAAACTGTTGAGCCTACTCTGACTTTCCATGCCAGACTTCAAATACTCTTCAGACAAAGACTGAATGAATGGGGACATCAGCTCCAACCTGTACAACCGCTACAAGCTGACCATGACACAGACAAGGAGATCAGACAGAACATGCAATCCATAAGACAGCAGAAAAATCCACAAAAGCTCACGAGGAGCCAAGAAATCCAGGGTTCTGGTGAGCAGTAACAATAAAGCAGCTGCAGAACAGTCCTGGTTCCACAGCACATACGTTCTATGGCTGACACGAATGACATGAAAAATGACCTCCCTGCTCTAGAAGCCAAACAATCTAAAGAGTAGGGAAAGCTATATATTCAGTACATAAAAATAACCAATGTAGGTTAGGAAAGTAATGACTAATACTTGTATAGTACTTTATAGATCTCATACACAATTTTATCTAATTTTATTTGACCCTTTTGACAATCCTATGATGCAGGGAAGGCAAAAATTTCACCTTCATCTTAGATAAATAAATGGAGGATGAGCTTGCCCACATAATTTTATTAGCAAGTTGGCTTCAAATTATAAAATACTGGCTTTCGTAAAAACCCTTTGCATCCATCACTTCAAAGAATATATATCTCCTCATCTGAAATTCAAGCACATGTGAATTTCAGTCCAAAAACCTCTTTGGCTCTCTCAAGAATTTTGCTCTCAATATACATGAGTGGTAAATAACTCCTGTTGGTGATAAATACAGGGAAAAAAGCAGGGAGAACCAAAAATAGATCAATCATTCAACAAAGACTTACAATCTACCATGAGCCTGACATTGTGTCAGGTGGTACCCCATGCATTGGAGCAAGAGTGGGAAATGAGACTAGGGCAATCCTTGTTTATATATAGAACCTCCATTCTTGGAGGAAAGAAGGAAATTAAACACAAAATTACCAATGAGATGAGTTATGAAAGGGGAATCAGATGGTCTTGTAAGAGGGCATGGAAAGGTACAAAAGAGAAAAAGGAGGCAAAGTGGATGACACAGACAAAGCAGAGCTATCTTATGGTAAAGTCTAGGGAAAGAGAAGGGAAATAACCTGGGCCTGAGAGCATATGACAGTCGAGTGATACAGCTGAGAGATGGGCAAATGGAGCTAATAGAGGGAATCCCTAGGAAGAATTAAGGGGGAGAGGATACCAACATATCTGTAAAACATAAAATCAAAAAGGTTTTAAACATCTGGATGGAGGACTAGACCAAAAAAGCCAATTGGTATGTATATAATCTGTATCAAAGCAAAAGGAATTCACAAGATCTGAAATTGCAGAGAAAGAAATTCTGAACTAGTCAATGTGTATTATTCATTAGTTCAACAAATAATTATTGAGTACTTGTTATATGCCAGGTTATGTTATAGGTACTGGGATATAGCAGAAAGCAAAATGATAAAATGTCACCGATGGGGTCTTGGTTTTGTGCACAGCCATTATTGTTTCATTATAGTAAGTATAAGAGTGTAAAGGAGTTTTTAGGTTTACTCCTAACCTTAGTTTCCTAATCCTATTTTTGCCATCTTAAATTCCTCAAATGTGAATTTTATCTAGATTTCAAGAACTTAACTTTGGATTTGGAGGATAACTGCTATATAATCAGACACAAAACTGTATGGTATAGTGCTAGCTTTATGTTTTATACTCTGAAAGAAAAAGATTAAAGATGACCTAGAAAGACTGGAAAATATGAAATAAACTAATTTGAAGGATATGTTATTTACTCAGGTGAAACAGAACATGACAAGCATTTAAGGCAGATAATCTGTAAGATGCAAACTATCACATGTAATCAAAAGTTGACTGTAAATATTCCCCTAATATAATCTGTAATCTGTATGGCTGGTTGAAAGTTATCTGCATAGCATTACATTGAGTATTTGGGGTAAAATAAATAAAAAATCTCACATTTACGGTAGAATATTCACTGAATGGAAATTTAACTATTAAATACTTTAGAGCAAGTGATCTTTTTATTAGGATCAGTTTGCTCAATTTCGAGAGTAAATACTACCGAAATCAGAGTTGTTTTATTTAAATATTTAATAACATACCTAGAACAAATTCTCCCACAAACTATCCCCCCATAAATGTTAGTTCTTCCATATTTAAAATACTTTGTACCAATTTATTTGAGAAAGCAGTTTGCAAATAACTATGGGATTCTGTGATATTTCTTCTCTTTCATTATGAACACAGGCTAACAGTATTTTATTAGCAATGAAGTCCTTAAAAATTCTTACCTGTGTTTCATGATTCCAAACGCACACACTGCCATTGTAAAGACTTGCCAACATCCATGGCTCTGTAGGATGCAAATCCACACTCTTAACTCGGTCAGATCGAGCAGTTAGCTTTCTTTTAATATCAAGTCTCAGAGGCTAAGGAAAAACAATATTAAAAAATTAAACTAAGCCAAATAAAACATGTTTAGGGTCTTAACTAAAAACAGTGCGTTAATAGGCCTACAAAACAATTCAGTTTTTACTTTGCTAAATTACAGACACAGTTTCAAGTCTAACACATCTATTTCTCTTCATTCATGCATACAAAAAATGAGACTATTTAAAATTTTAAAATTTACAGCAGTTCTAAAATTTTTTGGTCCAAGGACTCCTTTATACTCTTTAAAATTTTTGAGGACCCTGAAGAGCTTTTGCTAATGTGGGTTTTATCTGTTGACATTTTACCATGTTAAAAATTAAAACTGAAACAACTTTAAAATATCATGTATTAATTTATTTTCAAGTAACAAAAATAAACTCATTACATGTTAACTAAAATAACGTATTTTTATGACAAATGTTTTCAAAAGAAATTTAGTAAGAAGAGTGGCAACATTTTACATTTCTGTAAAACTCTTTAAAATCTGACTTAATAGAAGACAGGTTTCTCATATCTGCTTCTGCCTTCAATATGTTGTGATATGATGTTTTGGTTGATATATAACAAAAAATACCTGGCCTCACAGATATGTAGTTGGAAAGAGAAGAATATTTTAATAGTTTTTTCAAATAGTAGGATATTCTTTGAAGCTTGAGAAGTGGTAGTTTCTTGAAGGTTACTTGCAATGTGAAATCTGAAACCATATCAATAAACTGCTTTTGCTTTTTTAGATTAAAATACATTGGTCTATTCTGTACTTTGAATGGATCTTTCACTCATGCATGATTTTACAACATCAAGCAATGGTCATTTGGAAAATGTTGATTCACTGAGTTATGCAGATCTTCTAAATGTTGACACATCATTATAACTATATTTTATAAAAAATATTACATTCATTAATATCACCACCTATCTCAATTGATAAGCTATTAAGCACTGGAAATCTGTAAAGTTCAGTGATAGTTTTCTAAAATTTTAATTTTTACTTGAAATCTTTAATTTTATCATCAGTAACAAATACTTTCAGGGACCAATTAACTTCTTTCAGTTTTTAAACACTGTCTACCAAATAAACAAATGTAACCACAGTTTTTCATTGTCTTAAGTAAAGATCACAACTTAACTACAGACATGTTTTTCCTTGAGAAAACCATCACAGAACAGCTTTATGAATACTCCCGATTTCATTACTCAGAGTAGTTAAAAGATATATACGCAAGTGTAGAGATGTAATAAAATTAATAACTTTTACTCTTTCATCAATAACATTCTTAAATCAAACAGTTATTTTTTTGTTCCGTTTCACTTTTTAGAGACAAGGTCTCCCTATGTTGCCCAGGCTGGTCTGGAACTCCTGGCCTTAAGCAATCCTCCTACCTTGGCCTCCCAAAGTGCTGGGATTGCAGGCATGAGCCACTGCACCTAGCTTTTAAAAAAATTGTACAGCAATGAAGAACATACTGTCAGAACAATTTGGTGCCGCTGCACCAGCAGTTTTACCTTCCATTACTTTTACATCACCAGTGCAAATATAGCATAGTGAAAAGGGCCAATAGCATCTTACTATTAGGAAAATGGTTTTAATCTGTAGAGCTCTGGAAGGAGTATCAGAGACTCATAAGGGATCACAGACTACACTTTGAAAACCTGTGGTTTATAAAATATTTAGTAAATAAATTTAAAATATCTATTAAATTGCAATTTTGTGTTCATGTCATTAGTGCCATATCAGGAAATATTCTAAAGAATTGTTATTCATGAAGTGCTAGTAACCTTAAATCATAATATTAAATTGATTTCTTCAGAGAAAAGTAGATTTATTTTAGCAAAAATATTAGTAAATGCTTGGTAATGTAATGTGTGATAACAATAATAATGTGTGAAGGCCTTTGGAGTCAAATGGGAATGTCTGAAATATTTTAATGGATTTACATCACAGAAACCTACTGAAATTGGAACAATTTAAAACAAAAACAAAAATATTCTCTCAAGTCAGAATATACTAATAGTTTAAAACAGCCCCTTTCAAGCCAGATTCTTCATCTGAAGCACAGAACAGAAAATAACTGGACTAACTATCTTCTCCATTCTCCCAAGGATGCCACTCTAGGAGAAAAGTTAATTCATTATATAAAATGATGCCTTAAGGCAGTAGGCTTAATTCTCTCTTGGAGGCAGGTTGAGAAAAACTAATTTAAAATACATTTCCCCTTCAACAGGTCTTAAATACAACCTAAAAGCTTATCTGGAAGTTAAATTACTGTCAAATCTTTACTGTCGTGATCTTCTAGGATGATCATGAATGGGACAGAAATTTAAGGTTACTTTTGAACATAAAATGAAGATCTAGCAGAGATAATTTCCTAAGACAAAGCAAACACTTCACAAGGCTTTTATTCATCTCTTTTTGGATCTCTATCAAATGTGGGTCTTTGACTACTTCAAACCTTGTTCTTACTTCTATCCACACCTCCTTCACTTTTAGCAACAATCTTTACCTCTCTCTTACTTTACTTTAAAAGATCAGAGTTCTCTGGCTCTTCTCATCGATTTCCTCAAAAATGTTTCCACTGTTCTCTCTTCCTATCTCAAATTTTCTACTTTCAAACCATCATCTGTGCATTCCTTGTCAGTTCAGGGAAGTGAGACCTTTTACTTCTTTACTTCATCAATTTCTGAATTTTGCCCCATTAATTACTACCACAAATTTTAACTCCTTTTTCTCTTCAGAGCTGACACATACAAAATGTCTATTATGTGCCAGGAACTACCATGGAGTTTTCATATAAGCCAGTACATCTCACACTCCTGGATACTTACAAATTGTGTACATTTTACCCTTAATACATGTTTTAAATTTTTGATTATTGAGTAAAAGTGATGCTCCAGAAGGTGGGCCAGGGAACTCTGAGTAACGCCAGTACAACTACATACTTCCAAAGCATAAATCTCAGTTTATGAAGCACAGGCAAGAGCTCTTGTGATAATACTTCTCCCAACATTTAAGTGACTACTTTAATAAGACAACGTACTAGGTGCTTTGGGACAACAATAATTAAGATGCTCATACTGTATCCTCAATTCTAAATGTCTCCTTACATCTTCCAAAAGGTAGGTGCATTAGGATTCAGCTTAAATGCCACTGCCACCAAATAAGACTTTTCTGATTATCCTAGCCTTAAGTATTCTTTCCTAGGGGATCCCATAAGATTTCATTTTAACCACTGATGATACATTTATGTGCATATGTCTTCCTGCTTTCTAGAGTAGATGCTTCTTAAAGGCATGGTCATTACTTATACATGTCTTTATCTCCACAGCACCTTTTATGTTTGGGTATGGGGGTTTAAGGACAGACACTATAACACAGGACTAGAGAGTCATGATAGATTCAAATTTCAGTTCTACCACTCATTTCAAATGTGCAAAAGTGGGCAAGTTGACTTAACCTCTCTCAGGCTGGACTTGTGTGAAACAGACTTAATACTCTTATTATTGACCTCTTAGTGTTCTGAGAATTAAATTCAGAATTATGCAGTTAGAGCAGTGTCTGACCTATAGTAACCACACCATAAGCATTACTGTAACTCTATCCCCCAGCTGTTGAGAGAATCAGGTGGCAATTGTTTAGCAAAGTGCATGGCACATAGTAAATATTCTATGGTAAATGAGCAAATGAGTAAATTCATATTTTGTGTTTCACATAAAAGATTTAAAATATATTAAAGAGAATGAGAGTAATATTTCATTATTAAAATATATTTTTTAAATGTAAAGACTGCAAAAGAAAACTAAATTAGGCAGATCTAAGGGCCTTTTCCAAAAAGTCCATTACTGTAAGCACAGCAGATCCAAATTAGAGCAGGTCGTGAGTAACATGAAGTGGTATAATAAAGAGAACTGACGTCTTGTTCAGGTACTGTTAACCTGCGGTCCCAAGAAAGTCCATGGATGAAGAAAGGGTGGGGAGAGGTGTCTGTGAGTGAACACACTAAATTTTATTCGAAAAGGTGTTTCTATGTGGCATTTTTCTAGGGATATTCATAACTTTCATCAGTTTCCCCAAGGGATCAACCTGTTCCTAGTTCCAACTTTGCTACAATTAGCCTTATACAAACTTAAAGCTTTTTTTTTTTTAAACTGCCGATGAGGGACTGGATTTATTAACCCCTAGGGTCTTCAAGTTCCAAAATCTTTGATTCTGTGTTTTATAACAAGTAAAACTTAAAAAGGCAGGAAAATGTTTAAATATAAAATACTGAAAAGATATTCTTACATTATCGTATTTTTTATTATTATAGCACTCTTGTGTAAAGTATTTTAGGACATTTTTGAGAGTGAGGATGATAATAAAAACATGCTGTCATGACTCCTATTCCAGCCATTGTATTTGCAAATGCAGAAAAGCACACCAGCCAGTAAACGCCCCCCCCCCCAAACGCACTTTCCTTTTCTCCCAGAAACCTAAGCTGCGATTCCAAAACATTTGAAATTCCATTTTTGATTCCATATACATTTTTTCCCCTGGGCATCTCTGCTTAAGTTCGTAGTTTGTGGTCAGCGCACACTATTCCAAAAACAAACCCAACAGGAGTACATGATTAGCTCTGTTTTAAGAGCAAAATGAAGTAGTTTTGCCAAAGCCTCCTACCGAGTTCAACGTTTTCGGCCTCTTGTATTTCCCCACACCACCGACTCCGTTGCACACCGCAGGAGCTCGGGTAAGCACCGTAAGCGCCAGGGAGTCAGGGACCCCTCACTCGCAGACACTGCCTTCCCAAACCATCCTGGCCTCCTGGGCCCCACCGCTTCCTCCCTTCCACGACTCAAACTGGACCAGGATTCAAGGCCAGAGGCGGCGGCCGTAGCAGGAGCCCAGACCGTTGCTTACCGCAGCCCTCAGTCCAGTAGCCCCAGGCATCACCCGTAGCCGATGGGTCCCCCGATCCCTCCTGCAAGGTCTGGACTTACCATGGCTGCGTCGGTCCGAGCCTGGACGCCCCCACTTGCTAACGAAGAGGCAGGCACTGAGAGACCCACCGACCCGCCGACCGGCTGACTGACGTGGAACTTCCGGGAGGCTACTCTCGCGATAGCCGAGGGCAAGGACGAGAGCGCCTGCGCAAATCCTGCACAGAGCTGGCGATTCCAAGCCCCGCCCCAGTTTCCTAGGCAACGTGGCTATCGAAACCTCCCGTAACCTACCTGGAGGTGGCTGTGGCCTAGATCTCGGAGAGCAGTGGCCTGAGTCTGCTGAGCGTGGACCAGGACTGGAAAACCGAGAGATTAAAAAAGATGAGGAGGCCGGGCACGGTGGCTCACGCCTGTAATCTTAGCACATTGGGAGGCCGAGGCGGGCGGATCGTTTGAGCTCAGGAGTTCGAGACCAGCCTGAGCAAGAGCGAGACCCCGTCTCTACTAAAAAATAGAAAGAAATTATCTGGACAACTAAAAATATATAGAAAAAATTAGCCGGGCATGGTGGCGCATGCCTGTAGTCCCAGCTACTCGGGAGGCTGAGGCAGTAGGATCGCTTGAGCCCAGGAGTTTGAGGTTGCTGTGAGCTAGGCTAACGCCATGGCACTCACTCTAGCCAGGGCAACACAGTGAGACTCTGTCTCAAAAAAAAAAAAAAAAAAAAAAAGGAAAACGAAATTCCTAGTCCCCCCGGATGCTAGCGGCAGGGGAAGCCTATGGCGGAAGCACTGTCGGGCCTCCTCTACTCTGGCTCTGAGGGGAGGGAAGAGGGAAACAGAAGGCGAAACTAGACGAACGTGCTCTGTACAAGGCCTACAGCGTTCGCTGGGGGCGCTGGACTCCGGGCTGAGCTTCAGGCCTTCGAGGTCGGAGGGAGGCCTAAGAGCCCTCAGTTCTGGACCTCTCCGGGAGACGGGACTACTCAACCTACTCAACCGCGTATGATTGCCTTTTATTAGCCATCGGATGTGTTATTCATTCAACAAATATTTATCGATCTTTGGCTGTGTGCCAGACATACTTTCCTCTCATATCTTCACATCAAACCCGAATTATCTCCGTTTTACTGGTGAGGAGACTAAGGCTCAAAGAAGTTAAGTATCCCAGCCAAGACTGCATAGTAATTGGTAAAATCAGGATTTGAACCCAGACTGATTTGTCCTCACAGTCCTGTGCTATTTCTACTACAGCAAAATATCTCTTCGTTAAGGTATTGAACTCTACAATAAATGCCTGTGCTGTAGGAGTTGCAAAATAAAGTGCAAGAGCATTTGCCTACTACCCCTCTTTCACATCCCCTCCATTCCTGCCTTTTTTTAAAATTTTTTTTTAAGGAAAACATTGTGGGCAAATAAAACTTGCTGCCCTCTGGCTACATATAAACGTGTATATCTGACTTGATAGAAGCCTTGGAGTCTTTGTAGACCTCCAGATTTTAAGAAAGGCGAAAATACGTGTGTGTGTGTACGTAGTGATATTCAGAGAGAAACATGGATTCTGCATCAAGTTATTTGGCCTTTAGTAGGATTCTTGCACTAACGTGACCTCTTGTGGGCTTTAGTTTTCCTTATCTTTAAAAAAAATCAGGCTGGATGATTTCTAAAGTTCCTTCCATTTCTCCTATCCGGTGTTTCTGTGACATTCAGTAGTAGAAAGGAGAGTGGGTCTGGAACTGGAAATTTTATTGCCAGCAGTGTGATCTTATGTTACGTAAATTTGGACTAATAATTGCATACTTTGCTTACTCAATGGAGTGATTGAGGATCACAAGAGTTAGTTGAAAAATTTACAAATATGAACTATACTCAATTTGCTTGAATAATGTAGCTTCCACCTTTTTTTTTTTTTTTTTGAGACAGAGTCTCACTGTGTTGCCCGGGCTAGAGTGCCGTGTCGTCAGCCTAGCTCACAGCAACCTCAAACTCCTGGGCACAAGCGATCCTCCTGCCTCAGGCTCCCGAGTAGCTGGGACTACAGGCATGCGCCACCATGCCCGGCTAATTTTTTTTTCCTATGTATTTTTAGTTGTCCAATTAATTTCTTTCTGTTTTTAGTAGAGACGGGGTCTTGCTCTTGCTCAGGCTGGTTTCGAACTCCTGAGCTCAAACAATCCGCCCGCCTCGTCCTCCCAGAGAGCTAGGATTATAGGCGTGAGCCACCACGCCCGGCCGGAGCTTCCACCATTTCTGATTCCTGGATACTCTTGCAGGAGGGAGTATCTTTGGATTTGGCACAGTACCAAATAATAGAAAATAAAATGATATATCATCTCTGTTCTCAAGGGTCTCAGTCAGGGATATTTAATCTTTGTATACCACTAGGCACCCAAGGTTTTAGTTGGCTGGTATTGATGTGGGGCTGAGCCCCCAAGTGTCATGCTTAGTTTGACTGTATCTTTTCTCATTTTTCCACTGCAATTAACCAAAATTAAGTCCTGCAATTCTGAACTATAAATTCATTCTTCTTTCAACCATTACATACTGAATTTGTGCTATATACAAAGCACTACACTTAGGTGCTGCCTTAAGACAATACCCACAAAATTTAGTCTTGGATTTTGATTGAAAGAAATTTTAAAGGAATAAAATTTTCAAATATGAACCCAGACTGATATGTCCTCCAAGTTTTGTGCTCTTTCTACTACATCTACTACATAAACTAACATTAAATATTCATGTGTATATCCCAGTGTGTTCAACTGGGTTTAAAATAAAATCTTTTGTTTACTCTATGGTTTAGGGGAGACTGGAAGTTTAGGAAAAATAGCTCTGGGGAAGAAAAGAAATATGGACAAGTTTAGCAAATTAGTAAAGGGTTTCCCAAGAGGTTGATAGCAATTGATCAACAGATCTTAAAGTCTTAGCTGGTCAATTTCTAGGATGGCTGTTTCAATCCTGCCCTTTTGCTGCTACTGGGAGAATTCCAAGTGGAAATTTAGCCAGCAGTGCCTCTCTCAATACCCTTTACACACTCTTCCCTTCCCATCCCCTATCCCCAGCCCTTCATGAGAAGTTGAGGAAGTGTAAATAATTCCTTGAGGAAGAGTCTAGATTTTTTGTTTGTTTTTGTCTTTTAATATACAGGCATCATCATTTAGCAAAGAGGTAAGTAGTAGCATGAATAAGAACCTAGTTTCTCTCTTCGAAGGGGTTCTAACATATAGCAGGAAGGGTCAGTTATGCACAAATAATTGAATACCAGGCATGCTGTGGCTACCTGAAGATAGTACCAATAAAATACTCTGAAGGTAAAATATGGAGAGAGAAGTTTCATAAAGCAGGCAGAATCTGAGGTGGGATTTTTAGATAAAGAGAATATAGTATGTTTGAGGACCAGAAAAAGTCCAGTTTTCTTGGAGAATGGTAATAACTTAGAAGAGCAGTGAGGGAGAAGGTTGAAGAGGGAGGTTGAGGCTAGAACCTGAAAATTTTAAATAGGGAGGAATTGGGCTTTGATTCAGTAAGCAGTTGGGAACCACTGGGCTAGAAATGAAACCTGTTCGTATCTGTCCTCTAGAAGATTTACGTTTTGTTGTTGTATATGACATATTGGAAGTAATGAATTGGGACAGAAAGACTACACAAGTTTAGGGGAAGTGGTTGTAGAAATAAAATAAAATATAAATCAATAATGAAATATAAATCAAATAATAATGAAATATAAATAAACTAACGAAAAACTTTCAAGTGCCCACTATGTACCCACCATTACAATATGTACTTTGCATACTGTAATTCATAAAATAATACTAAAAGATAGGCATTACTTTCTCCAATTTATAGATGAGAAACTGAGGCCGAATTGGTTAAGTAATATGCTCCATGCCATATTGCTCAAGAATGAGTGACAAACCTGAGATGTGAACCTAAGTAATATCTAATGATACTAATGCCCTTTTGCTGGACTGTAATTTCTTCTTTTTTCTGGAGAAGCTAGAATCAACTGGATACACACATGACTTGAGTTTGTTAGTTGAGGGAATGGGAGGGATCCTATTGCTGATGTTTTAAATCTAATGAACCCAGAGGAATATCTTTAATTAGAGAAAGATACGGCGCCAATGAATGACAGTGGAGCTAGTGAAGGAACTATCAGAGAAAGAGAATCAAGAAAAAAGAAAAAGAGAAAGAAATGAAGGTAGTGAAGGAACAATCAGAGTAAGAGACCCAGAAAAACCTGTATGTCAGAGAAGGAAAAGGAAGGGGGAATGTACCAGAGTGACTAGCAGTCTTAGTGGCTTTAGAGAATTAAAGAAGGCTTAGTGTTTGTGAAAACCATTGCTAATGAATTAAACAAATATGAGGACACTGGTAGCCTTCAAATAAGCATTTTCAGTTGAGTAATGCTAGGGGAAGCAAGTTTTCAAAGAATTAAGAAATCATTAGCCGGGCATGGTGGTGCGTGCCTATAGTTCCAGCTACTTGGGAGGCTGAGGCAGGAGGACCACTTGAGCCCAGGAGTTTGAGGTTGCAGTGACCTATGATGATGCCAGTGCACTCTAGCCCAGATGATAGAATGAGACCCTGTTTCAAATATATATATATATATAATAAATGGATGATGAACAAGTAGAGGTTGTGAGTATAAACTATTTTGCCAAGAGATTAGTGATGAAAAGCCAAATGTTAATGTGAGACACATTTCACTGAAAGTGGATTGACTGCTCCTGCATTAATTTATGATAACACTCCAAATAGATACAGGCAACCAAATGGACCTTTGCAGTGTGAGTGGTAACTAGCCAGGCAAATGTCAAGAGAGTATATGCAGAGCATTCAATTTTTTCACAGAACTAAGAATAGTTTAGCATTCCTGGCTGGAAAGTAAGAAGGGGGAAGATTGAGAAATGGTACTAAAAAGGTAGATGGGGCTCAGATCTGCAAGGTTCACGATTGCCAGTTAAAGGAGTCTGGACTTCATCCTGAAGGCTCTGGGGAACCATCGAAGAATGTTAAGTGGGGTAATCTTCGTGCTCCATTACTGATTCATCAATGCAGGTCACTTACTTTCCCTATTAAAGGAAATTTTAAGATTATCAGCTGGATGTCTGCATGAAGTGAATGAAAGTGAAAGTTTTGACCATGTAGTCACATAGCAGCCATCAGCAGACTAA